TAAAAAGTATTTAGTTTAAATTTATTTTGCTTTATTTATGGAATATGGTTTTAGATGATTTTGTACAATATATTGTTTTGATTCAAATTGCCATGTCACAATTTTTCATAGCCATGTCATATTTATTTTTGGGAGAATGAATATGGAGATGACACATAAGCAATCTATAATAAATCACTTTCCAAATAATATATAAGGGATTATGATTAATTACTTGATAATAATATTTGTATACTCTCTCCATTTTTTAATATAAGATGTTTTAAAGTTTTTTTTTGTTTCATAATATAAGATGTTTTCAGATTTTTATGTAATTTTTACTTTTATTGAATAGTGTAATTAATAGTATTATGCAGTACTTTTTTAATTGGTTGAATTGTTTGTAATTTATATATTAAATAATTGTATTTGAAAAAATTAAAAAATTGTGTTTTAACCCAAAATATCATGTATTAAAAACGGATGGATTATAAAATAACACTTGAAGACTAGAAAAAAAAACAGTTTCTAATAGATAAATTTTGGCAAGGCTTGTGGACCATTCTATTTGATCAAAGCTATTTTTAGTAGCCAAATTACTTAAAACTAAAATAAAATGAGTTGAATAGATAAGTAATCTGAAAACTAACGAATAGAGAATCTGTACTTGGATTTATCATTTAATTGGGGATTATCGCGTGGATGTGACGCGCTTGTTTGTATAGAAACATGTACCAGTTACCTCTTGAATGATTAATTAATAACATTTCGTTTTCATTAAATGGTAAAAAATAGTACAAATAATTTAATTAAAAATTTGAGGAAGTTAGGGCTGAGCTTCATCAAAGCGTCACTGATCTCGCGAGAGTGAGATATTTGGACTGACGCTCACCTGCGGGACCCACTGTGCTTTGCTTTTGGCCGGAGCCTTTATTACATTATTATAAGTATAAAAGAAAAAAAAAGGATGCAACCACCATCCCTCCCTCAATTTAGTTATATATTTTATTTTTCTTTTTAGTTAGAGAAATTTTTTGTTGACTATGATTTTAAAAGATGATTTGTTAGTTAGTTTCTCTCAGATATGTATGAAGACGTATTTACTACCAACGATACAGAGTTTAAATAATAAGAAAAAGATTAATTAGAAGGATGGCACTTATTAAGTTTTTTAGTAGTATCTTTTTTGTTTTTGTTTTTTGTCACAAGTTTTCAGTATCTATATTAAAAAGTTTATAAAGAAACAATTGGAGTATTTTTCCCCCTGTTATCTGACAGTTTATCACTTATATATGGATATGGGCTATTCGATTTTCTCGTTATAATACTGCTGTTTTTAGTTTTAAGAAACTTCTCTTAACATTTAAACCAAATTAACCGCACTAGTCTACAGTCACGTCC